TCAAACTTTAAACGCGTTTTTCTCTAAACATTTTTTGCGAATGGCGATAACTCAAAAACTAATAACCCAATCGATTTTAAATTTTTACACGTTTCTCTGTGAGTATATAGCTATCGTATGAACTAGGATAAAGCCAATCGGTGAAGATCTTCCTTATTTTTTAACTTGGTTTTTGGTCAAAAATCAGCGATTTTCCAAAAATAGTTTTTCAAAGATTCGCCATTTTGTTAATTTTAGAGCGAAGTCAATAATCCTAGTTCATACGAGAGCCAGACATGTACTCTTTCTAAAACCGTTGGAATTTTCGGATTCCGATGTTCCAGTGAGGAGCTATCATGACCGCCATCAAAAATAAGGACTTTTCTTTAATTACAAAAAACAACAACAAAACAATAACAATCATCTTAAGCATTACGTGACGGAAATAGTCATTCTCAAACTTTAAATGCATTCTCTAGGAGTGTATAGCTCTCGTAAGAACTAGGATTATTGACTTCGCACAACAATTAACAAAATGGCGGAACTTTGATTTTTTTGTTTTTTTTTTTTGTGGAAAATCGCCCATTTGTTGACCACAAACTAAGTTAAACAAATAAGGAAGATCTTCACACTCCTAGAGAATGCGTTTAATGTTTGAGAATCACTCTTGCCGTCACGTAATGCTGACAAAATAAATCGGCTATATCTTCACGAGTTCTTGAGATTTTCACTTGAAATTGTAGGGATATTCTAGAACTAGAGTCGATTCGAATTAAGGGAACCCCCCCCATTCTCGATTTTAATTTTTCAAGATTTTCAATGGGCTCGTATATCAATACCAATGCTTGTTAAGGTTTGTAACTTTGCACATATATATTTTTAAGATTTAAAAGAGAGGAAAAATTATTTACAAAAAAGTTTTGTTATTGTTTTTTTGTTGTTTTTTGTAATTAAAGAGAAGTCCTTATTTTTGATGGCGGGCATGAAAACTCCTCACTGGAACATCGGAATCCGAAAATTCCAACGGTGTTAGAAAGAGTACATGTCTGGCTCTCGTATGAACTAGGATTATTGATTTCGCTCAAAAATTAACAAAATGGCGGACCTTTGAAAAAATATTTTTGGAAAATCGCCGATTTTTTACCAAAAAACAAGTTAAAAAATAAGGAAAATCTTCACCAATTGGAATTATCCTAGTTCTTACGATAGCTATACACTAACAGAGAAACGTGTAAAAATTTGGAATCTATTGGATTATTAGTTTTGGAGTTATCGTGCCCGACATTCACAAAAGAGAAAAACGCGTTCAAAGTTTTAGAAACCCTTTAGTCGTCACTTGATGCTGACACAATAAATCGGCTATATCTTCAAGAGTTCTTGAAATTTAGTAGGGACATTCTTGAATTAGTGTAGATTCGAATTAAATAAAAAAAATTTTTGACGCCGAGAATGGGGGGGTCCCCTTAAATCAAAACAATTTTTGACACCGAGAATGGGGGGATGGGAGGGTACCCTTAAAGGCCTTAATAACAACTCATAGTAGATAAAAATGGACGACCAAAATTTATTTTAATTTTGTCAGTTTGGCATTTCCTCTATGGACGGTACATTATGTAACATATTTTGGTACATCTTTGTTACTTGTATATAAAATATAGAAATGCGGAACGGAGTTTTTTCGAATTTGCCAAATGGTTTGATAGAATGAACATAACGTTCTGGACGTCAAATTTATATATACTTGACACACACTTTCCATGGGTCGAAAAATCATTAATTGCAGAAAAATATATGTTAGGGTGGGCTTTGAAGATGTATATTCCTCAATGCAAAATATTCTGTCATTATCCTTCATTCTCACAATTTTCAGTAATACGGAGTGATTTGAAAGGAAATTGCAATATTTGACTCCAAAAGCTATTTCAGTTATCCGATATTTTTCAGTTATGCGACTTACAGTAAAGCGGAGTCGACTGTACCATCAAATTCTGAACCGATTTCAACCAAACTTTACACAAGTGTTTTTAAACTTAAACGCACTGAATCATCGAAACCACTGAATTATCTGTGCCAAATTAATATATTCTAAACCAATTGAGATAAGTTCCTGAAATTAAAAAAAAAACTCATGCTATTGCCGTGGTAATTAATAGGCAACATTTGGACCAGATTAAATCATGTTTTGCGAATTCTCCCTTATAAAGGTATTGCTCGATTTACGGTATTTTGAGGATTATTGGGTTTTCAATCGAATTGGTTATAGATTCATATTTTAGTTTCTCATGGAGCACCAAGTATCCCTACCAATTTCAGAGTAGATCCCATTTTAAAGTCACTCACAGTTCAGTATTTTGAGGATTTTGAACATGTTTATCAATCGAATGTCTTTTGGGTACCAAATCTTCCCGCCAAAAATGTTCAATATTGGTCTAATTTATGAACATGAACCGATTCTCTTCAATTAAAATGGGCTTCGTTCTTAAATGCGTAAAGGTCAGATGGAAGCTATTGTTTTCACAAAAACCCCCGTTTTTTTCAAGAAGAAGATATTTTATCGGAAATCGTCTGACTAGAAGGAGCTGCAGCAGCCAGGACAGTATGGAAATAAAGAACGGGAACTTGTTATATGATATATCCTACATCAGAACTAGGGTTGCCAAATTTCGATTCACAAAAGACTGGACATTAAGTTCAGGGTAGACCTAATATGTCCAGTCCTAAACTTTTGAAACCAAGTACTGGATAACTCTTTATAATATGGAAAACATACAGTGGTGATCACGTAATTAAAACATTAACTTTGGTCAAATTTGAATGATTGGCCTTCGATTCTTTAGAAGTATTTTTTAAAAATTTTTAATTCAGAACACTTAGATATACTGCACTTAAGAGATTTAGTGAGGAAATAGAAAATTATTGCAGGGAATTTTTCCATAAATAACGGTTTTTATGAAAAAACATCGAATCGAGGGCTGATCAAAAATTTTTACCCCAGTAAGTTTTTTTATTAGTAATGAAAATGGGAATATTTATCATAAACAAGAAAAAATCTAGTTAAGTTCGGCCGGACCGAAATACTCTTCCACAAGATGATGTGCAATCAAAAAGTTCGTAGTTCGGGACCTTTATTTCACGACTATGTTATTGTAAATTGTCTGCAATTAAGTTCCTTATTCGACAGAATTAAATATTAAAAATGTTTTTAAAAACATCCACTAATATTGAAAATATTTTGCAAATGCGTTTATTATTCACCAGGAATATGGAATACGAAACCACATCTATTTCGGTCTTACATTAAAATACCGGAAATATGAGAAATTTGATATTCTACGAGAACCCAAAATGTCAATATATGTCCAAAAATTTACCAATGTTGAATATTTTCTGCAAATGCGATTTTCACACTCCAAGAATCCGAAATGTCAAATTGAAGCCACTTAATTTGGAAAATGCGACAAAGACCTAAAAATACCGAAAATAGGTCGGAACCTTTACGGGAGCTATGCCCAAATATGGGCCTATTCAAAAATTTGACATTCATGTACTCTTCAAGTAACCGGAAAGCCAAATAACATATAACGTTGATGGGAAAGTGCTGCGATAATTTTCAAAATACGAACCTATATTGACCATTTTCTGCATATCTGACATGTCAGCCTCCAAAACACAGTAATGTAAAATGACAGCTCTTCGGGAAAAAAATCCAGGTACTCGTCAAAACGTATACTGTTATTATCTACTCAAATCTCATTATGTTATTTATTATTTAGTGTAAACATTGGTTGTATAGGTTCATGCTCTGGTACTACGCCAATAATTATAAAAAAACTTATTTCATAAAGATTGGAAAAGTCCCTGAATATTTTATCAAACATAAGAAGCAGACATGGTCTCTAAATTTACAGACTTGGAAATAACTGTTCATACTGTCCAAATGTGCATACAATAGGTTATGTTAAAAAGATGGGTGGTTTACACCACCACATGTCCAATGTCTAGGGAAGGAAGAAGGTTGGAAGAAGTCATCTTTGGAGTTGATCCTAAACGTCTAGGATTTTTTTGTTAGTGAAGCCATTTATTTTTTCTATTCACATCCCCTTAGGCCGGTTAGTGGAACAGGAAATGTTTTAACATTTCGCTGTCTTCTCCACACGATCTACATCAGTTGCTTTCCGAAGGTTGTAAGTGGGCCAGTAGGTTGTAAGGAAGATCAGTCTTATGATTCTCCTTTTGATTTGGGTCTCCTTATAAAAGTCATATGCTGAGGGTATATACCGATCGGGTACATAGACTGATAATTTGTAACCAGCTATGGAAATTGTTTGTTATAGCATTTTATCTGAAAATCACAACACGTTTAAGTCAATTGATGTCATTACTTTTCTGTAAAAAATTGGAGAAGCTTAGGGTTAATAATTTGTAATATTCGAAGAAATTTGTCCAAATAACCCACAATATATACAATAAATGATATAATTTCTTTAGTTGGTGTGCACGGTTCAACTATACTACTTTCGTTTTTTTAATAGTTTAATTATAATCTCATATATGTCTCTGTCATTGATTTTATTAATAAACTAATTTAATCCATCTTTGTGGTATGTTGGAAATGTTCCATGTATTAACAACCAGTTATGTTAAATTTGTCATTTGATTTTTTTATTTATTCCTCATAAATAACTTCAGCTTTGTTGTCCGATTTTAATTTTTGAAATGTTATTTGTATTTACAAGTTAATATTATTAATAAACATAAATCCATTTCAAATATATTGACCAAATAAAATTAATATAATTGTACTTTATTAATATCATAATTTGCTGTAAATGTTACATATGAATTTGTTCGTTACACTGCATGTATTAAAATATAATTTACGTTCATGTTAAATTACGATCTAAAAATAAAATATAGCTCCTGAAAGTATGCTATATTTTTGACTAGAAACCAGCACAATAAACTTCCTAAATTCGTTTATCCCCGCACAGTGGGATGTTGTCATCGTCAAGTATACGCAATTATTTTTGTAGTTTTTCTTTGAACATTTCGGACAGAACTAATGCTTGTTGGGCATTTAAATTCTACAAAAAATAGATGATATTTTTTTATTCTCATTTTTTATAAAAAATACCCAATAATACTTACCTCGTAATCATATGGCTCCATATATTCCTTACATCTATTGTACCACTGTTTAATACGATTATATGAAAGTAGATCAAATCCAAAGGCTTCGATTTGGGATATAGTAACCATCAAGGTTAAATCAGCAATTGTAAAATTATCTGCAGCCGAGTATTGTCTACCGCGTAAAATTTCATCGAACCAGCCCAGAGCTTCTGATAATTTTGCCTTTTTCGTTTCATCCAGGGGGGCTCCCATAAACATGGTTGGGAACTGAATTGTAGAATTTTCAATATTATTTATTTTCCAACAAATTGACTTGTATTCTTCGAAGTAAATTTAATTTATGTACTCTTATCATTAATTACTTACATAATAATCTGTCATACGCTGATACAGTGTACCCAAGTCAAACATTAAACGTTGATCCACCAATGCTCGAACTCGCACATCCTTGGGATATAGTGTATCATCTTTGGCAAACGCTGAAACCATATACGACAAAATGGCTCGACTGCAATAAAAATAATTGCAAAAAAACTACCATCAGCATGATGTTCAACACTTTAATGACATCGTAAACAATGTCCCACATTTTGCACTGGAGCACTAAACCACATCATTACCTTTCTTATCATCATAAAAATACTTCGTGACAACTTACCTTTCCCACAGGACTAAACCGTCATCATTTAACGTTGGCACACAATGCTGTGGATTCATTTCCAGAAATTCCGGTTTCATTTGTTCGCCCTGCATGATATTAATGACCTTCAGGTCAAGTTCCACATCCAACATCTTGGCCAACAACAAAATGCTGCGACACGGTGGACTTGGTGGCAAATAGTAGAGTGTGGGTGTCATTTTTCCGCCTCTAATCAAAAGGCAATAGACAAATTCCTTAACAATGTGAGTTGTCTCTTGGAGCATAATTGAAAATGAAATGACCGAAAAAAGTTCTATGGCCTAGACAATACAAACTCAAATTTTCGGTCGACGCAGAGAAATGAACAGCCAATAACATAAACCAAAAAAACAAAATAAACAATTGAAATGAAATTACTTTATTGGTCAATGTTCGATTAGGACGCGTACATACACACAAACTTCTGTAAGGGGGACACACAATTGTCGGGGAGTAATTACCACAAAGGCAGACAGACAAGCAATTATGGCCCAAATTCGTTTAGAGTCGTTTGGTTTAATACAGTGGTTTCGACGTATTTTGGTATACAATATTTAGTTTTTACTTATTTAACAAATTATTAATTATTAAAATTAAATGTTTGAAAGTAATTTATATAATAAATGGGCTATTCCCGACTAATAACTTCCATCCACTTTATTTTATAACTGATATAGTTAAAATAGCATTTTTTATATCCGAAAATGTCATTCCAAAGCTCATTAATAATTCTCCGACAAACTACTGTAGTCTATAAAAAATTGTCATCGTGTAGGATAGAAGCTTCAATGAACATAATGAATTTGAGGGAGTAATTTAACCACTTCCTTGAGCTAATTATAAATACATTTGTAACATCATGTCCATTAAAATATTTCTTATCAACCTCAAGAAAAATTACTTTTATAAACAAATAAAACATAAATTACATTTCAGAAAAAAATCTATTATCCAATCCTCCCAAACATGAACTTCGAAATTCCGAGAATTTCTTTATCTTCCCCTTTATTTCTATCATCTTTGGAACGCCTACATTTAACTTTCAAAAAAATGGCTTCTTTCCTACTAACTTGAGTTGGGCAATCAAGTTCTTGAATTGGTTCAATCATTTGTTCTCTCATTTAACTTGTTCCAATTGATTGAATCGTTCATCTAGATCTTCCCGTTCATTGATATGAACCATCGAAAAAAGAGCTATGGAACTCAATAAAAGACCTAGTGTCTTTTTCGGAGCGAAGCTAGTTCCATAGCTTCTTTTATGTCGATGGTACATGTCAATGAACGGGAGAGAAAAATGATCGGCTGGAACAAAAGAAATAGATTAATCACGTTCTTGAATTGGTTCAATCTTTTTCGTTCCGTTCCCAAAAAGATCTAGATTAATGATTGAATGAAATGGAACTAGGTAAATGAGAGAAAAAATCAAAAAGCCTGGAGAAAAATGAACGAGATGAACGAAAGAAGTTGATCTAGTGCCGATCGTTCCTTTTCCAGAATACAGTAGTTTTCGTTTATAGTCCACAACTATAGTTGCACAACTTTTGTGGACTATAAGCGAATTTGGACTATATCCGAATTTCGTTTTAAGTCCATTACTGGATTATAACTGAATCGTGATATAATACACGTCATGGACTATACACAAAACATGTACTTTTCTAAATAAAATTTAAGTTTATTAAAACAAATTCATATATTTATTTAAAATAAATAAATTGTTTAAACAATAACCACTGCATTCTGGCCACGCATTTCATTAAACCATATAAGAAGCGCCTTTTCAATATCAGGGTGATCACCTTTTCTTTGACGCAATGTTTTTAGATTGCACGAATTGGAAGCTTTTTTAATTTTTGAACTATTTTTGATTATTTTATAAACTGTTGATTTATTTACTCTATACTTGGCACTCAGTTGTCCACATTTCATATTATTTTCTT